TTAAGGAACCACCATACTGCTTTCCACAGTGGTTATATCATTTGAGAGTCCTACCAGCAGTGTATAAAAGTCCAATCTCTCCACATCCTTGCCAGCATTTGTTATTTTCTGTCTTGTTGAACTTTGCTACTAGTGCTGGGTTCATTGTTGTTTTGATTTGCATCTCTATAATGGCTAATGAGCGTGAGCATTTCTTCATATGTTTGTTGGCTGCCTGAATATCCTCTTTAGTAAAGTTTCTATTCTTGTCTTCTGCTCATCATTTTTTTAGTTGGATTGTTTGTCTTTTTGTTGTTGAGGTGTTGGAGTTTTCTGTAAATTTTAGAGTTAAGTCCCTTGTCAGATATGTCATTGCTGAATATTTTTTTTCCCAATCTGTAGGCTCTCTTTTGACTTTTTTGGAGAAGTCTTTGGAAGCACATAAAAATTTATTTTTAGGAGGTCCCACTCATCTATTTTACCTTCTTTTGTTTGTGCATTTTGGATTATGCTTGGCAATCTATTTATGCCATATATAAGGGCCCCTAAATTTGCTCCTAGTTTTTCCTTGAGGAACTTTATAGAGTTATAGATTTCAATTTAAGTCTTTGATCCATCTGAAGTTAGTTTTTGTGTGTGGTGTGGGGTATAGATCGTGTTTCATTTTTTTGCAAATGGATATCCACTTTTGCCAGCACCATTTGTTAAAGTCAATTACTATAATGAAATGTGCAAAGACTTGGAATTAGAAAACCAAAAGGGAAGAACACGCTTGGCATTTCTCAAGCTGAAAAAACTGAGGAAAAAATTTAAGCCTCGAGTTGCAATATTGAAAGATTCTATGGGCAAAATATTGAATGATGCCAGCAACATCAAAAGAAGATGGAAAGAATACACAGTCATTGTACCAAAGAAAACTGGTCGATCTTCATCCATTTCAGGAGGTGACCTATGATCTAGAACCAATGGCTTTGAAGGAAGAAGTCGCAGCTGCACTGAAGGAATTGGTGAAGAACAAGGCTCTAGGAATTGGTGGAATACTCATTGAGATATTTCAGCAAACGGATGCCCCACTGGAAGCACTCACTTGGTTATGCCAAGAGATTTGGAATACAGCTACCTGGCCAACTGACTGGAAGAGATCCATATTTGTACACATTCCAAAGAAAGGTGATCCCACAGAATGTGGAAATTATCAAACAACAGCATTAATATCACATGCAAGTAAGATCTTACTGAAGA